GTTTCTCAAATCCACCCCCCCCCCCCCCCCCCCCACCCGTGTTTTTCTTTATATGACTGAAGATGACTGAACAATGCACAGCTTTTGATAAGAATGGCCTGCAGATACACAACTCCTACAGTGTGCTCATGAATGAGGAAACCAAGAGAAAGAAAAAAGAAAAAAATATATAAAATCAGGTTTTCACCCAAATCCCCACCGTGAAAACGTTCACCAGTGAAAAATCCTTGAACCCCAAAACTACTCCAGTGCACCCATCACCAACAAATCACAGAAACCCATTTTGTGAGTTGATCAAGTTATCCATGCTTTCCCCATCACTGCATTCCTAACGGATGTACCGTATATTGGGGTCCGCAATTAGAGAAGGAGACAAGAATAGTCAGATCTGACGAGACATATTGGTCGTTCTGATTACCTGGAGGATGCTTATTGATGCGGCGCCGATCCCTGGATGTTCGTGGAGAAGACTGAATTCCTCAATTGGCATAGACATAACCTAGCGCAAAGTAGGGTTACCTTGTCAAATCTTTACATAGCTGAACTGCTACTACTGGGTCAGTCCAACCCCAGAGGTGACACGTCACAAATACTTTAGGTTTTGGGGCTTTTAGGCCAGGGGAAAGTGTGTCCAGGGAGCTTTAAAGGCCAGCAGGTGGTTTTTAAATGTACCCATGCAGTGGGCTCCCCTCCTCCACAAGAAAATGCTTGCTTGGCTTGAGGGGGGGGGGATAAGTATAAATAGTGACCTTATTCCTCACTTCCGTAGGCTTCCTCATCTGGTCCCCTGAAGCCACTTGCATGATATGGGTACACTAAAAAAAAGCCTGGAGTTGGCTTTCAAGTCCACCTACTACATCAAAGCTGTCTCCATTCCTCCTATTCTTTGGAGGTACAAAAAGATATAAAAACTCTTCTGGGTTTCGGGCAGACTGACCCATCAACTGCAGGGCGATAACTCCATGTATAGCCTACAGGAACCCATGAATGGACAGATACTGCTAAAAAAATATGTTAATGAGTGAGCCAGCACAAGTGAAGGCCTATCATATGTCCCGACACTGGGAGCATGCTTATTGTAGTTAGACGTACTAAGTAGTGCAGCAACAATATCTCTTAGATGTTAATTTATCAGTCTGGTAGCTGTAATACAAGCATCTCACATTAGCTGCATCAGTTACATTTATCCTATGTACATCCTGCAAGTTGACTTTCCTGTGCCCTCCATCTGGACATTTGATGGCTCATTTAGATGTAGCTGGTGGAGGGCAAATGTCAAACTTCAGGAGTTTAAGTAAAAGACCTTTCTGTACATTCATGGGCTTTCAGTTCATTTCTCAACCTACCTCCGGGTGCTTCCTCCGTAAGTGGCGGCTCATGGAGGCTCGGGTGGAGACCTTGGTTCCGCACAGGTGACAGCTCTGAGCCTCCACCTTGTCATGAGTGAGCTGGACGTGTTTCTGGAGCATGTATTCCGTGACGTACTTCTTATCGCACACCGAGCAAGTCCACTGCTTCCCTACTGCCCCAAAGAAAGAGAAAAAACGACAAAGACGGGGTGAGAAAACAACGGTGAATAGTAACACAACTGTAAACTTTGCCCCAGTTTCCAATAGTATAGCTAGTTAGATCTCCAATATATGAACCATTTCCTTCCCAGGGCCTTTTTTTGTGTGGAGTTCCTGAATTTGATTTAATTATTTTTACTTTAAAAAAAAATGTTTTTTGGGACAGACGAGGCCTAAATCTGGAATAAGATTTGAATGAATATATTAGGGATGCACCGATATATCGGCTGCCGAAACATATGGCACTTTTGGCATAATGCCGAAAGAGCCATGTTTCGGCCGATACATCGGCGCATCCCTGGTTTCTTTTCTCCCCGCTGGGCGCTGCTCTGTGTTCCAGCGGGGAGAAAAGAAAGTGACAGCCGGCCGAGTGCTGCAGGACGAGAGCGCTGTGAGCGGCCGGCGTCTCTCCTCCCACACCGCTCAGCCGCCTATCACAGTCCGGCAGAGCGGTGTGTGGGCGGAGACAAACAGCGCCGTCACAGGAGGCTGAGCTCTCCTCCCTGCTCTGCTCAATCAGCCTCCTGTGACAGCAGAGAGGAGAGCGAGCACAAACACTCAGCGATCAGTGATCGCTGAGTGTTTGTAGATAATTAAGGACGTAGTATGTGTACTATATCCTCAATTATGAATGAATGGGAAGTTATCTACATCACCTCATGTTCATTCATAGTTGTAGGTATAGTAAAACACAAACCATGTCCTCATGTTATCAATGAACAGGAACACTCATGCCTGTTCATTGATAACAGGAGATACAGAAAAAGAGATTGAGGACCGGTATCGGTTTCGGCCTGACAATTTTTTTAATTTCGGTTTCGTTTTAAAATTTCCATTTCGGTGCACCTCTACAATATATAATGTATTATTTTCTTGGATTTTATTGAAAATATATACAGGGTTATTCACATAAGGGTGAGGAGTTTGGGGAAGGCCGGAGAAGTGAACAATCTAGGACAACATAGCTGATTTGGAACAATTCTCCAATTCAGCTCACTTCCCAGTTCAGCTATGTTGTCCTAGAGTGTTCACTTCTCCGGCCTTCTCCAAACTCTTCACCCTTCTGTGAATTACCCTGAGAGAGGAAAAAAAAAAAAAAAGAAGTGCATTTCTGCATCTTTTTCCCAAGGCAACTTTTACGTCATTTGCACGACGGTTTATATTTACCGCAAAATATAAATCAACAAAGTCGGCTGATTAAAATCATACACCATTGGTGTGACATGTATCTAACGTCGTGGAGTGGTAATGCTCAAATGATTAAATTGATAGGATATTGCATTCACTTGCACAGTAAAACACAAAGCCTTGGTGCCATTTTAAAAATGGTAGCCGTCCCTGCTCAGGTTTGAAATTGCCCCCAGGACACAAGTGTCTCATAACAGTCAGTGTATAGGGCTGAGAAAGCCGATAAAATAATAAAAAATTATATACATATATATATCTCTATCTATATCATACCAAGACATTTCAGACAATTTCATGCTCCCAACTTTGTTGGGAACAGTTTGGGGATGGCCCCTTCCTGTTCCAACATGACTGCGCACCAGTGCACAAAGCAAGGTCCATAAAGACATGGATGGGGGAGTTTGGGGGGGAGGAACTTGACTGGCCGGCACAGAGTCCTGACCTCAACCCAATAGAACACCTTTGGGATGAATTAGAGCGGAGACTGCGAGCCCGGCCTTCTCCTCCGACATCAGTACCTGACCTCACAAATGGTCCAACATTCCCATAGACACACTCCTAAACCTTGTGGACGCCTTCCCAGAAGAGTTGAAGCTGTTATAGCGGCAAAGGGCGGAGCCAACTCAATACTGAACCCTACGGACTAAAACTGGGATGCCATTAAAGTTAATGTGCGTGTAAAGGCCGGCGTCCCAATACTTTTGGCAATATAGTGTATATCAGCTCAACTCCAAAACTAAACAAACTAGAATGGATTGCGGTCTGTGCTTGCCCTGCCTTTAGGTGAACCTGTGCTTTTCCTGTACAGGGAACAGCTGCAAATACACCTCCACTGTTCTGTTCATGCACCCGGAGCACTTGGGAAGAAACGGGAGGGAGTCACATGTTCCCCATACCTGGACATAGTCTTTTCCCCCCCATGGATATATAGAGGAGTAGGGGAGTGAAGGAAATGTGCAGCTGAGCAGGGTAGTAAAGTGAACTTGCTGCTTTGGCTCACTTTACATGGAAACTGTATTTTATCCACACTGGGTAACATATTAGAAGGACCCCATGCAGTCTCTATTGACGAGAAACACCTACAATGCTTCTTGTGGCCAGAAATAACGGTATAGTTACATTACAATGTATTCCTCTGTGTGGTGGAAAAAAAAAAAGAAAAACAAGACTAGTAACGTTTACAAATCTGCATGTCAAAGTTCACATGCCTGTTCGAAATTTAACATGCACTTGAAATAATTTATATATTCTGAATAAGCAGTAGCGTGAAGCTATAGGCATTGTGGTGAAATTCATCCTCAAAATAACCAACAGAGGCACTAAAGTTACAGCTCCTCGTCCGTTTTCTACGGCAGCAGGGACTTTACAGCCTGCCAGCTCTCCAATATAAATATACACTGAAGGGGGGGGGGGGGCGACCTCTGTAGCCGCTCATCCTCAAAGTTTCTGACAGAGATTCTGAAGTTCCATTCAGTGAGTTTCCGACAGTTACAGCACCTGGAGGGGAGATTTATCAAAACTAGGGCAGACAGATTCTAGGGAAGTTACCAATAGTAACCAATACGCTTCCCTCTTCAGTGCGTTCAGTTAACCCCTTCATGACTGAAGCCCTTTTTTCAATTTTTGCACCCATGTTATATTCCACATTTTAGGCCTGAAAATGACGTAAAACCCCCCAACATTATATATTTTCTGAATGCCAAGACCCTAAAAACAAAATGAAAATAGAACTGCTCCAGGTTCTGTCTGCTCCAATAATCTTAATGAATTCCCCTGTAGCTGGTGTGAACTGTTGGAAACTTACTGAAACCAAATTCAGAATCTCTGTCACCTTTGAGGAAGAATTACTTCATAGTACAAGCAGCTACAGAGGTCAGTGAGGACTTTAATCTTTTTTTTTTTACTGCCTGTTAAGAATATGTAAATACTTTATTGTCCATAATATAGGCACAGGTGCACTTTAAAGGCATTTGTTACTTGCCAGTCAACCCTACAGGCTTATAGTGCTATGCTAGCTGACAATTTAAGGAAGAGGCAACAATATGACATTTCCTGTCTGGGTTATGGTCATGGAATGTGTCTACAAATGATGGGATTTCACATGTCTTCCCATTAAGTCATTTCATGGTGATGGTCAGCGTAATACAGAACTCCCACCATGACATACCCATGGGCCAATTATAGTAAGTGGAAATCCTATGTCCTACTTAGGACATTTAATACACTTGTTCCATCAAAGATTTGTCAAACAATGTGGCAGTTGACATGCAAATGACAAAACATAATACTTATACATGTGCAGTGACACAGGTAGCCAAAGAAAGGTATTTACCAGTGTGTACCAGTTTGTGGGTCTCCATTGTGTTCTTCTCACTAAATGTCTTTCCGCACAGCTCACACATGAAGTCTTTGATGCCTGTAAAACAAAGGGGACACATAAGAAGAGCCAAGACTGCATTTTACTTGACCGAGGGCAACGTAGGGGTTCCAATAACAGAGTGGGGGGGCAGATTGTGTTTGCAAGGAAAACGGTCAACTGGCTACTTCATAACATGTATCTATCCAGTCAATCTCCCCCTTCACTGTACATGAGGGTGGGCAGCAAGTAGGCATCTGCTGCTGCTCCAGACATGAGAGGCCCCCCATCATACCCATCCCCTTTTACTTTCAAGACTCACCATACAACCTACATACACTTCCAAGTAGGAGGAGGAACTGGGTAGATCCCTAAAGGCCGAAGACTGGACTCAAATTCTGCAAACAATGCGATCTATTTCTTACAATGTAAACGCCTTTGAGACAAGTCATAAATTGTTATCCAGGTGGTATCTGGTCCCATCATGCTTCCGGGGATGCAATATGACCGGCTCCTTCCATCATATCTGATGGGCATGCACGGTGGTGAGCAATCTATGGTCCAACATCTCTCCAAAGCTAAAGTTGCATTAAAGTAAATAAATCTAATAATGCTTACCTTAAATGATGCCTCTTGATCCGATCTTCTTTCCAGTAGTCCCTCCAGCGCTGGTGCCGGTCTCTGATCCAGAGTTGACTGCTGTTTCTTCTGTGCCCCAGAGTCTGCCAGGCTGCTTGCATTGACTTACACTGTGTCTCTCCTTTTCTCCCGACCAAAAGATCTCTACTGCGCATGCGCCCGCCCCATGATCCTTCACGGCCGCTTGAGAATTTTTCGGACCGGAGCAAGCGGTGCAGAAACAGGTTAGTAACCTTTTTGGTGACTTTTTTGTTGTTGCATATATCTACTGCCTGCTAGCAGTAGATATATGCAAAAAAAAGGAAGGTTTAATTCTACTTTAAACATATTCCTAGAAAATTATTTTAAAATACCCATCTGAGGCCCTATTGCTCAGAAAACCTGAAGGGCTCACATATACTCAAACTAGCGTTCTGCTCATTTACTGCAACTAAAACAAACCCTAGTGAAGGCATGGAAGTCAGCCAATCTCAACTCCCAGGAAGACAAATCCAGATTTTCCAGGATTTCCTGCTTGATAGAACGATTGCTTTACTCGATGATATAAAGGACTCCTTTGAAAAGAAAAGGTCCTCCTTGGATCCATCATTATCTACTGCCAGGTTTTGACTGCAGCCTGCACATCTCCTGAAAAGATACCATTCGAGTACACTGGAGGCTCTGCAAAGTCCGTATTGTTCCCTCTGCCTGCAGATCTCCCCCAAATTCCCCGACCGCCTCACCCACCCTCTCTCCTATTATCTATATTCATACCCAAAAAATCTTAGACAAAAATCTGGAATAGATGAATGCTTTCTGTGGTGTAACACCATTTGGCACTGCACTGAACTGTTGTTAATAAAAACATGACATCTTCAGATTCATGTAAAGCTTCCTACCTTAGGTCACGGTTTATATGCATCTTCCTTTAAAACTTTACTGAACTGGGGGTGACCCCCTCTCTATGGCTGGTTCAGTTGTAGAAAACCAACTCTTGAGGTTCGGGCTCAGTGCGGGCTCCAGGGGAAGGGGGTGGATCAGTGTAGGCTCCAGAGAGATGGGCGACTGCAGCCACGGCTCTCTGCTCAGGCACATAAGAGGGCCCTCAGATATGCCTGAATAGTGGGCCGCGGCAACATGGTCAGCTCCGCCCGGCTGCGATCCGGGTCAGCTCGGATCGCAGCCGGGCCTATTTGCAGGGATGGGCCTGGAGCAGGAGCTCCACCCGTCCCTATGTTAATCCAGCCCTGGCAGCAAAGGAGCATTGGAATATCCTATGCTCCTCAGTGCCATTTAGAGGTGGTAGTGCTATGCTAATGGAATCTGGCCAGCTGTACACCGGAAAGAAGGGTTATAAAATCAGTCCTGATGAGTGCACATTCCTATTATAACTTCCAAGGGTCAGGTGGTTCTCCACAGATTTGAAGTACTGGTCTCTCTACACATGGGCCAACAATGTCAATGACTAGTTTTCATGATAACCAGACTGATTAAGATAGGGCGAGCTTGAAAAGAACCAAAAAGCCCACCTCACTAAACATGTTTGGTTATACTTTCTCATTGGTACCCAAACCCTACGCCATAGAAGCCATGGTTTCTATGCACTGTGCTGAGCATGGCCAAGTGTAGTGCAATGTAGAATAAATTGTCTGCATCTGTGCTGCAAACCAGCGGCTCAGGATGCACAGGCGTAAAAAGGGATGACTATCCTAAAAATGAACAATTACCTTTCTTTTTTTACACATATATCACTGTTGGTTGAACAGTGAGCATGTTTCCAGTAATACAGAGGTGCAATATGTTTTAACCACCTGCTGCCTGGCCGTTGTAATTAAACAGCGGCGTCTTGAATGCGGGTGGGCGTTTTTAAATGTCCCATCCTGCCCCGCTCGTGCCCGCCGCTAGGCTTTCAATGTAAACAGCCAATCATGGCTGTTTCAATACAGCCGTTCGGGAGCATGTCGA